GTCCCTGTGCTTTGCTAAGCTTGTTCTAAGTAGGTGCTTTGGACCACTGAGCCATCTCACCAGCCCCAAGCCCCTTTACTTTGTATTTTGATTCAGGGTCTCAGTCACTAAATTGCCCCAGGTGGGCTTGAGTTCGAGATCCTCCTGCCTCAGCCTCCCAGAATGCTGGGGTTTCTGGTGTCTGCCGTGGTGCCTGGTGCTCCGTGATGTAATTGTCTGTTTCGTGGTTGTTGACTGAGCTACTGTCAGTCATTCAGTGGCTGCTTGGCCTCCAAAAGCAAGGTGGCCCCTCCCCAGGACAGACCCTTGGCACAGGGAGCAGCCCCCCAGGGCTCAGACACCTGTCATGGGGGGCAGCTTCAGCCAGACACTCACAGTACTAAGGAGACTCACATTCACTGATGTGAACTCGGTCAGTCTGTCCTGGCACCACCACAGTCACAATCATTCGTGGTGACACAGTGACAGGCACAGCTGGGGACATTGTGGGGGTGCCCATAGCACCGAGCTCCCACAACAGCACACTCACCAAACGCTCTGCTTCTGCAGGTGCCCCTCCCCGACAGGGCTTCCTTCCTGGGTGATGCTGCCCACCGTAGACAGCATCAGAAAGTGGGGGAGGTATCTTCAGTGATGACAGCTGCCAACTTCTGTCTCTAGTGGGGCCTCCAGGTGGGCGTAAATAAGAGGATTAAGTGGGGGTGTTTCCAGTGGCGGGGAGGAGGGGGTGCAGGGGCTCACTACGTAGCCCAGCCTGCTCTCAAACCGTTCGGAGCAGGCTGGCTTTGAATTTGTGGTGATCCTCCTGCCTCAGCCTCCCGAGTGCTGGGGTTACAGGTGTGCCTGTCTAAATCCTACGTGACCTCATACATGCGCCCCCAGAGTCTGTCCTCAGGGGATGCTGGAGCCAGTCCCTGAACACAGAGAAGGGCCTCATGGGCAGGAGTCCTCCACTTGGTGTCCTGGGGCAGGGATCCTCAGGGCCCCAGCACGAGGAGGTACTTGTATGAGTGAAGGGCCAGAGTGCTCAACTGTAGTCCCAGTGACTCGAGTCTAAAACGGGAGGACCACAAGGTCAAGGCCAGCCCGGGCAACTTAACAAGATCCTGCTTGAAGTATACAATAGGGCCGGGGTGTGGGTCCCCTCCCCACTACCTGTGGCTCAGGGAAGGAGAAAGACAAACAGCACCCTGCGCTGGCAGTTGAGGTAATGACAGCAGGAGGTGACCAAGGGCACCCAGGGCAGGAGGCCGGGACACGGAGTGGGGTGATGGTGGAGACAGCACAGGTGGGCTGGGGGCACGCAGGTGTGGGACTCCCGCCTCTGCATGGGAGAGAGGGGACGCGAGCCACTGGGGTCACCTCCTGTCCTCTCGGGGGCTCTGCGGTGTCCTGGGCCAGCAGCAGTCAGACTGGAGCCACAGCCATCGGTTCAGCCTGCACCCAGCGCGGCAGCGACAGCCAAGAGCTGCGGCGCAGAGCAGGGACCAGGTCTCCCGGGCTGAGGAGCTCAGACCAGGGATGAGTCCCTGGCTGCACCATGAAGCCCCGGGCTGCCGGAGTGGCCTCCATGGCCCGGGGACAGAGCAGGGGTGGGGCCAGCTCTGCCCCATGCCGAGGCCACGCAGGACGCTTCAGGTGGCACTGAGTGGCCGTGCCTCGTGACCTTTGTCGGGCACCAGCAAGGCCATATGCTGGCTGTGTGTGTCACCCTGCCTGTGTCCTGTGGCACCCCCGTGTGTGTGTGTGTGTGTGTGTGTGTGTGCGCGCGCGCGCTAGGAGGATGCTGGTGTCAGCGTGTGTGAAAGTGAGTACAACATACTGGTGCAAGAGTGTGTACATGTGTGAATATGTGTTTGCCCAAATTTGAGGAGAAGAGGAAGGCTGCTTGGATGGGTCAGGAGCAAAAGCAAGAGAGAGAAGGACCTGGCCCATGTGGGAAGGACAGTGGAGCGGGACTTGGGGGCACAGGACTGTAACCTCAGCACTTAGGAGGCTGAGACAGGAGGATTGCCCTGAGTTCAAGGCAGCCTGCCTATACCAGAGACCGTGTCTTAAAAAAAAAGAAAAAGAAAAAAAAAAAAGGCCATCAGGCCATGGCCCATTTGGGAGGGACAAAGCCCACCCAAGGGCTCTAGCATGGTAGGGACACATGGAGACCAGAAACCATGGGGCAGAGGGAGAGCGGCAGCATGGAGCAGAAGCCTTCTCCACACTAGGCCTCCTCAGGCATGGGCTAACCCAGGCTCTTAGCCTCAGTTTCTCTTAAAAACAAGAAAAAACTCCACGTTGTTTTCAGCGTTGGGGATGGAAGTGTGCCGAGTGTGGGTGAGCACTGTCACTTGAGTCACCCCAGCTGCAGTCAGAGCAGGCAGCTCACTGCAGGCCCCACCCCAGCAGCCAGCTGGCCCCACAGCCCCGGGAGACCCCTCGCTGGGAGCCCACAGGGCAGTGGGTGGCACCACCACCCACCTTCTAGCTGTGGAAATCCAGGCGAGAAGCAGAGCCCCACCTCCCAGGGCAACGGCTGTGGGTGGCTCCAACGGGCGCTGAGCCTCTGCACCACCTGTGCACCCCCATGACATACAGGGCAGCCCTGAGCCCCAGATGGAAGCTGGACCCACGCGCAGCCACCACTCCATCCTTCAGCCGCATCCTGCAGTATGGATTCACAGCACCCCGCCTGTGCCCCGAAGAGGTAGACACTGTGACCTTGGCATCCCACATCCAGGAGGAGTCATGGCCTGAGGCCCTTGCAGCCCCGGCGCCGCCGCCGTAGCCTTGGGAACAAATCGCAGCCTGCTGTTGGTGACAGCCGCTGGGTCCTTTGCCCTGGTTGTCCTTGTGGGCAGCCAGCCCTACCCATGAGCAGGGCCTCTGCTGGCTACCAGCTGACAGCAGATTCATGGGAGGGTCTGTTCAGGCCACTTGAGCTGCCAGCCCTGCCCGGTAGGGAATACGAACCCCAACACCATGAGGTTAGAAACAGCTGACATTTGGCAGTTTTAGGGCAGCTTTTGTGACACAGCACTAACTAAATGACACACAAGGGTGCCCGGGCAGAGAGGAGGCTACAGACTGTTGGTGATTGTTACTATTTGTGGTTCTTGGGCTTCAATGAACTCTTGGAAGAGATGCAAGAACTCTAACTGGTGGATTTTCACTTTTACGATTTTTATCATTAAAAAAGGTAGAAGACAGCAGGGAAGGGAGGTGGGGAAGAGAGAAGGGGAGTGGGGTGGGAGAATGAGTCTCCCCAAATGTCAGATCTGGGTGACTCTCCTTCTCCTTGGTCCCTGTCCGCCCCCAGTGTCTTCTCTGTCCCACAGCTTGGGCCCCAAGCCACTGGCATCTGCAGACAGGCCTGGCCCGACAGACAGAGGTCAGGGGCAGGGCTGGGTCTGAGTCTCTGTCCTTGAAAGACCCCAGGTGGATACTCATGTCCTTGTGTCCCAGGGCCCCAGGGAGGTAGGCGTTGAGCAGAGGGGCCCGGAGGGCTGGAGTCCTGGAGCCCAGGGCCCGTGGGGACTGAGCACGTGCCGGCTGGTGGTCACTGTCCAGAGGCAAGGTCTGTGGTGAGGAAGGAGGGGTGGATCAGCAGGGAGGGGGCCCCGAAGTGACAGGGATGCACAGAGGGGAGCCCTGGGAAGGGACTGCAAGAGGCTGCAAGAGGCACGGGAGAGGCAGAGGGACAAGGGCAGATGGCTGCAGAGAGCTGCAGAATGAGAAGGGAGAGAATTAGAGGGGACAGGAGGGAACAAAGAGTGGAGGCAAGCAGAGACCCACAGCATGGAGGAGCTGGCTCAGGCACCCGCCTGTCTTCCCGGCACTCGGGAGGCTGAGGCTCAGCCTGGGTAACTTAGCAAGACCCTATCTCACAATAAAAAGAGAGCTAGAGAGAGACAGAGACAGGCTGGGAATGTAGCTCTGTGTGGAGGCTTCACAGTCAATCCTAGCTCCTAAAGAAAGGAGACGGAGACAGAGATGCAAGGAGTGATGGAGGCAGAGTGGAAGAGTGATGAGGGGAGGGAAGAGAGGCTTGAGGGTGAGAAGTCCCCACCACTGTGGACTCCAGAGGCCACCTGCCGCTCAGCCCCAGCCACTGTTATCCCTGCCAGTGTTTTCTTCCCGCTCAGGCCCCAGGGCCCTAGGGCTCAGCCGTGCTCATTTCTAGATATCCCGAGCTCTTTTATTTTTTATTTTTTAGGGAAGGGTCTACAGGGTGTTCAGGGTCTTACTAGATCTGACTCGTAGTGATCCGCCTGTTTACAGCTTCCCAAGAGCTGGGATTACAGGTGCAGTCTCTCCCTCTCCCTCTCCCTCTCCCTCTCCCTCTCTGGTGGGACGGAACTGGGGATTGAACTCAGGCCCTTGCACCTTCCAGGGAAGCACTTATTCCACTGCGCCATCTCCCTGGCCCCAACCACGCCCAGTCTCAATTGCCATCTCAGTGTGCCCCGGGGGCAGAGCCGGCATGGCAGGCCTGGGGATCGAACCCCTGGCCCTTGTGCCTGCTTGCAGTCACTTTAATCTGTTGAGCTATTTGGCTGGCCCAAATAGTACTGAAAGCTTTTTTTTTCCTTCTATTTAGCACAGGGTCTCACTACACAGATCGGACTTGTAGTGATCCTCCTGTTTTCAGCCTCCCAAGAGCTGGGATTACAGGCGCACACTACCACTCCCAGTCTCAGCACACCCTGGAGGCAGGGCCAGCACATGGCACACAGGGGATCAAACCTCAGCCTCTGTGCTTTGCCTAAGCAGAAGCTTTAATTGGCCGAGCTATGCGGCCGGCCCCTCCTGAGCTCTGCCTGCCACTCGGCCCCCCTGCCTGGCCCAGCCCAGGTTCTCCTGTGCAGGGGAGGGGCCCGCAGCCACCTAAGTGCCTTTGCAGGTTCTGTGCCTGCTGCTGGAAGACTGCATTCTCTGAATTACATGGTCTGGGTGAGACTCCCCACTCCTCCAGGAAGTGCCCCCAACCTTCCTCCTGGCCTGGGTCCGGTGGGTCCTGTGGGCTCCTGGACCACCACTCTGCAGTACTGCCTGCCCTGGGCCACTGCTGTCTGTGGACAGGTCTGTCCCCCACCACACTGACAGCCCTACGGGCAGGGCTGGGCTGTCTTGGTCACTGCTGGGCATAGAGGTCTCGGATGTATACGGGGTCCATCGGTGGCTGGACACTGCGATAAGGAGTTTGGCCTCTGCCCAGAAGATAGTAGGGAGCTACAGAAGGTTTAATCCAGGGAGAGTCATGATCTGATCTGGACCTAGCAACTCCTGCTGCTCGCTTCAGGAGCAGATGTGCTAAAAAAAAGCTCAGGGCTGAAGCTGCCTCCCCGCCTCAGCCTTTGGCACATGCTGTTCCCTCTGCTGTTCCTAGCAGGGTGAGCCTGCACAAGCAACTTCTCTCAAGTGACTTCTTCAGTTTTCTTATCTGTAAAATGAAAATAGACTAATCTCTCCCTCTTGGGCTTATCTCTGAGACACAGAACAAATGATTGCCTCACTACCTTCACCCCCACTTCTGCCCAGCATACTCCTACGCATACTCCAGTGACTCATTTGGAAACCAAGTCCTCTAAGTGATCTTCTTGCTACCCCGGTGGTGACAGGCAGGCTATGCTTATTGTTTAAACTGGGGCCCTGGATTGTCCCTGGTTTCTGATGTCTACTTCTCAGACAAGTGGGTGGATAGATGGATGAGTGGGTGGGCAGATGGGAGGATAGATGGATGGGCAGGTGGGTAAATGGTGGATGGGTGGATGGAGAGGTGGCTAGATTGAAGGATGGATGGATGGGAAGGTGGGTGTGTGGATGGATGGATGGGTAGGTGGGTTGATGGAAGGATAGATGGATGGGTGGGTAAATAGATGTGCATGGATGGATAGATGGATGGGTGGGTTGATGGGTGGATGAATGGAGGGGTGGCTAGATCAAAGGATAGATGGATGGGTAGGTGGGAAGGTGGGTGGATGGACACATAGGTAGATGAATGGGTGGATGGATGGGTAGGTAGGTGGATAGATAGGATAGATGGGTGGGTAGATGGATGGATGGATGGATGGATGGATGGATAGATGGACAGGCAGGTGAATCATCTTCCCACCGAGTCTTGCAGAACCTTCCTTTCAAGGACCCAGGCCCGCTGTGGAGTTGGGAGATCTAGGAAGGTATGTGAGGTGCACAAGACCATGGCCAGGGCCACTCACGCTTCTCCTGACTGCAGTCTCTATAGGTAATGCCACTCTCCTTCCAAGTTTAGACTCATCCCCACTGAGCCTGGAAGACAAAAGAGTAGGGTTAGTGGGTCCTCCCGCCCACAGTGTCCCTGAGTCCCTTCCACCCCTTCCCACAACCCTTTGCTCTAACATGGTAGACCAAGTCATATTTTAACGAATAGTGGAAACCTAGTACAATGATGCTTGCAGTTATTGGGAAGGCTGAGGAGGGCTGAGGTAGGAGGATTACTTGTGCCTGGAAGCCAGAGACCTGCCTAGGCAACATAGTGAGACCGTTTCAAAATAAGGAGGGGTTCTGGGTGTGCTAGCATATGCCTGTAACCTCAGCACTTTTGGGGCTGAGGCAGGGGGATCTCTAGCCTGGGCTACACAGGAGTTTAAGACCAGTCTAAACTACATAGTGAGAAGATGCTATCTAAAAAAAAGTCAGGTCTAGGGTGTAGTTAAGTGGCAGAGCGTGTGCTTAGCATGCTCATTCCAGTACCAAAAAAAATAGAAAAAGGAAAAGGAAAAGACAGAGACAACTAATGTGTGTTGAGCCCGGAAGTGAGCTTTGTAAGGAAAGGGTGGGGACCAGGCAAATGGCCTCAGCATCTTCAGTTTGTTCTCCACACCCAAATGAGATGTTTATTATTCATGAACCGAATCTGAAGATGGGACAAGTTGAGAGGCGGCCGGCTGTGGGGCGGGCGACCCATTGGGGGCGGAGCCCAGCGGAGGGGCAGAGCTTACCCGGCGGTCGGACAGTCACATGCGGCTGGGTCTCCGCATAGCCTGCCACCGGCTGGCCCTCGGGACTGAATGCTGCACCCTGTCCTGCGAAGGGGTGGGGCGCATACTGAACCCCCAGGCTTGGTCCGCCAGGCCAGGCTCAGCGCCGCGGCCCCCCCCGCCCCCTACCTGTGCGGTTGGACTGGTCGATCATGGGCTGCACGATGCGTCTTCGCGCATTGATGAACCTGAGGAGGTGGCGGAGTCGGAGCGGTGCGGAGGGCGCGGCGCGGCGTCAGCACCGCGGACAGCGCCCCCGCCCGCCACTCACCAGTTGTTCACTTGCAAGATGGTGAGCCCGGTGTCCTGCGCCAGCTGCTTCTTCTGCTCCTCGGAGGGGTATGGGTGCTGCGGCCACCACAAGAGTCACCCGTCTAGGCCCCAAGGCAGTGACTCCGCCTCGCCTCTTCCAGAGACTGGGTGACTCGACCGGGAGGGGCGAGGAGAGGGCAGCCTGGAGGCTCCTGTCCTGGCTGCACCTCCGGCTTATCCAGTACTGGGAATTGAACCCAGGTCTTTCATATCAGGCTACATCTCCAACTTTATTTATTTTTTTCTATTTGAGACAGGGTCTTGATAAGTCACCCAGGCTGAGCTCAAACTTGCAGTCCTCCTGCCTCAGCCTCCCAAAGTGCTGGAGTTACCGAGACACAGCCAGCTATGTCTCTGTCTTGTACTGACCAGCTCCTCTCCATCTATGTCCTTTCTCTTTTTCGGCCTCTCTGTCTATTTTCTGGCCTCTGTAGGAGGCAGTGTGGTGCAGTGGTTAAGGCCTGATTGCCTGTGTCTGAATTCTTGTCTGCCTGTGTGGCTTGAGCGAATCCCCTAACCAATCTGGATAGACACAGACCCTCCCTCCCCAGTGTGTGGATAAGTGGTCCCCGGGCTGTGGGAAGGACTGAACAACTGCGGGTCCCCAAGCAGCACTCTGCACTCGGAGGAGGCTAGGCTCTGTTCTGCCGTCCCTGCCCACGCACGTCTTCCCACTGTCACCCTCCAGTATGGACTCTGGGTCCCTCCCTGCTTGGTTTTGTGGTTCTGCCACCGCTGTGCCCATGTCCCCAGGCAGCAGGACTCACCGACAGGTGCTGGAACAGCCAGGCCCGCATGATGTTGGTGGCCACTTTGGGAAAGATGCCTCGCTTCTTGTTCCGCCGCCGCTCCTGATCCAGCTCCTCGTCTTCTCCCCCAGAACTGGGCGAGGCCACGCTTGTGTCCAGCCCGTCTCCTGGAGGGGGACACAGGCACACTGCACCGGTGGATGGCAAAGAGTGGGCACCACGGGGTCCAGCACCCTCACCCGTGGCCCTGCCCTCACGGTCCACGCCGTCTGCCAGTCCCACTCAAGATCTAACCTCAAGCCTTATCAACTTGCTCCACTGCTTCCCCAATTTCTCACCTTGGTCACTGGAGTTGTCCCCACTCTGGGAAGCCAGGCCCCCACTGGATGGACCCGGGGTCCCCAGATGCACAGACCCACCGTCCTCATGGTCTCTGATCCACGCATTACTCTAGAGAACAAGAGCTGCGAGTCAGCGCCAAAGCTTGGGATGCCGTGCAGCAGTGACTGCGGGCCTCAGAGCTGAGACCCACAGAGGGGAAGCTCCTGCTTCTGCTCTTTCCTGGCTGCGATCTTGGGCAGGTCACGTCACCTCTCTGTCTCTCAGTTTCCTCAACTGGAAAGTGCAAGGTGACAGCAGTGCCCACTGTGCTGTGGAAAAGACTCAGTGAGCTAATTTAGGGGAAGAGTGGTGGCCACGCAGTCTGCGCCCCTCCTCGGAGCTCCTCGGGGCAGGAGCTGGGCAGCGCGAGCAGAGCAGACAGTAAATAAGCACCCCCACTGTCTCCTGACCACCCCGCGGGGTCCGGGCATAACCCCACTGTCAAACTCATTAACGTTTCTGCAGCAAAGTGAATGAATACTTAACTAAGTGGAATAAATAAAGGCTATAAATAGCCTCTCATTAGTTCAGGTCAGCTTTGGCTGCCAAGTGATTTTGCACTAAACTTACAGGGGAAAGGAAGTCCGAACTCTGAGTTTTCAGAGATCCTAAGATCTCAGAGCTGCAGATAAGAAAGCCCAGGGCTATATTTTCTGTACCCACATTGGGACCCACTTTGAGGAACTTGGCAATGTGCTGGACTTGCCCTCTGGGCTGGTTCTGCATGCTCCAGGAAGCCCATTCCCCCATTGCTCCCATACTGTCCCTTGACTTTAGATAGGATCCGCAGCCAGATAGTTCAGTGGCATAAGTGCCTTTCTGGCAAGTGCAAGGTCCTAAGTTTGATCCCCAGTGCAAAAAAA